ACAAAAACCCAGGCCATCCGAACCATTTCATCCAAGACAGCTACCCAAGCCGCCGGGGGCCAGCCTGGGCCGCGCCTCCTCCCCCCACACCCCCCCTTACCTGCTTCAGGCTTCCCGCGAATCAAATATTCGCGGGAAGCAGGGGAGGGGGCGGAGACTTTGGGGAGGGGGCGGGGTTGGGGAGGGGGTGTGGGCGGGGCTGGGGCGGGGGGCTGTGGAGTGTCCTCCATTTGGAGGCACAAAATATGGTAACCCTAGATCTACCCCAAGGTGATCGGTCTCAACAGAGCCTAGGGACTAGGCCCAATGAATCTAGGGAGGAGTTTTATCCTCAGAAGATGGCAATTGGCGAGCTCTGGACTAGGCCCATGTGGAGGACTTGGGAGACTTGCGAACGAGGCAGCTGTCAAGTCACCGGCCAAGCAGGGCCCTTAGTGAGCGATGCCACAGGAAAATGGCACAGGCAAGGTTCTGGAAGAGGGTGGGCATGTGGTGAGGGGCAGGTAGTTCCCCAGGGACCTGGGGGCAGATGCTGGAAGAGAGTGGCTGGGGGAGGCAGGCGCTGGGAAAGCTGAGGAGTTTGTGACCTTGAAGCAGACCGGCGGTGTTCTGAGGGGTGCGTGGAGTGCAGGGGAGGTTTCTCAAAGAGGATGGCAGTTAGCGAGAGGCAGAATGGCAGTTACTCAGTTCCCTCCCATGGAGGGAAAGGTTCTAGAAAACAGGACCAGAAAGGTAGGGCTTCTCCCATCCACGTTTTCCCAGGCTGGCCCCTTGGCTTGGGTAGCTGTCTTGGATGAAATGGTTCGGATGGCCTGGGTTTTTGTAGCTGAGAGGTGGCAACCCTACACACTAGTCCACACTGCCCAACATTTCAAGTAGTTACTCTGGGATGGGTCCTAACCCCAGGGAGGGGTGGGAAGCCCTGGGGGTGGGGAGATGGAGAGAAGTTACAGAGTGAGCTTGCCCCACACTCACCCCACAGCAGCAACTCCTGGGCTCCTATCCTGTGGGGTTGGCAGGGCTCAGCACCCCACCCTGGGCATTATGACCAGGCCCAAGTGCATAGCACTGCTCAGGTTTGGTCTGGACCCCTCACCCCATGCACCAGGTCACAATGCCACTCACTCAAATTTAGCCTGGGCATGCGCACATATATATATGCCAACAGCAGGCCAGGCCAAACCTGACCACCCCTGTGTGACAGGGGTCATTTTGTAATACCTAGAACGGGGAGCCAAGCCCAGTGGGGCAGGGATCACTTTGTAATACCGGGAGCAGGGAGCCAAGCCCTGTGGGGCAGGAGCCACTTGAACCAGGACAGGGGGGCTAGGGGGTGTGTGTGTCAAAGCAAGACAGTTCTGCTAAACCTGGGACAACTATTGGGAAGTCTGCTAGTCAGTGGGAGGCATATGGGCAGATAGCATTTTTCCTAATGAAAATAATTAATTAATATAATGTTCAGCATTTCTACAATCTTAAATATCCTAAAAGTGCTGTGCAAACATTAACTGCTTGGTGTGAGTCCGTGAGGTCACAGGAACCTGGGGAGGAAAGTTATGGCTAGAGAGATGGGCAGTAGTACTAATGTATTCATGTTTACTACTTACATAATAATAAAAGTGTTACTTGCATATTAATTAATTAAAGGTGAATTTTCAGATAAATTTAGACCCAAAAGTAGTTGCAGTTAAAACAAACTTTTGCTAAGCCTCACACCTCAATAGAAACATTCCAGTGAATTTTTTGTTTAAACTTTCAAAGGATACAATTTATTGGTAAAGGCCTAACATTTCCCTACAGTGTTTGCTACCCAGAGATTTATGCTCTCTGTATGTGTGTATATATATCTCCTCAGTATATGTTCCATTCTATATGCATCCGAAGAAGTGGGCTGTAGTCCACGAAAGCTTATGCTCTAATAAATTTGTTAGTCTCTATGGTGCCACAAGTACTCCTGTTCTTCTTTTTGCGGATACAGACTAACACGGCTGCTACTCTGGTACCCAGAGATTGCCACCCTCTGCTAATGTGCGAGAATGCAGGAAAGTGATTGGTAACCAAATACATTTAT